CTCATTGCGGTGGCTTCTCTTGTTGCGGAGTGTGGGCTCAAAGTGCGCAGGCTTCAGTAGTTGTGGCACGTGGGCTCAGTAGTTGTGGCTCAAGGGCTCTAGAGCGCAGGCTCAGTAGTTGTGGCACATGGGCTTAGTTGCTCCGTGGCATGTGGGATCTTCCCAGACCAGGGCTCGAACCCATGTCCCCTGCATTGGCAGGCAGATTCTTAACCACTGCGCCACCAGGGAAGCCCTCCCATATACTTTTAAGCCAAGTGATTCCTTCCTCTTCCATCCTGGATTATCTTTGGATGGAGCCTCTGCAGGGCAAGACCCTTCTCACTGCTCAGGTGGCCTCCTCCTAATTTATGCTTGTGGTTTTATGATGAAAGAATTTCTCTTTCTGTCTCTGCCTTGAGCTGTACTCCCAAATGTCCCCATTGCAATATGCCAAAACCCAGGAAGGGGTGGTGGTGGAAATTTTTCAGATCCCAGAAAAATAGAGGGGGTTCGGAAAGTGGGGACAGAAACCCTGATCCCACCATGTAAATGTACCAAACTATGTAGTGGGTCCTTTCTATATTTTGACTCATTTTTTTCTCATGCCAGTCTTTGGAGGGAGGAATTATCTCATTCTCACCCATTTTATAACTGAGGAAATGGGGCAGAGTGGTTGTGTATCTCACCCATTGTAACTCAACCCAGAAGGGCACAAGCTAATCTAGAACTCAAATGTGTCTTCCCCAAAGTTTTTCTGGCTACTCTCTTTTTTCACCGCGCTTCCTCTGCAGCTGTGAGTGGATGTGACTACTGGTCCAGTGGGCATCTTCTCTGAGAAGTTAAGGGGGGCGTCTTGGTGAAAGGGTGGAAGGTGAGATTTGAGGAGGGAGGAGAAACAGAGCAACTGTAGAACCAGACACCATTCTCCTTTCCCTCCTGCCACCAGCGTCGCAAGAGACTGTGCGTGTGTTTTGGATGCGAGACTTGGGGGCGTGTTCCACTGGCCAGTGTGTAGCAGTGGGGTCAGTTGGGCTCCACCAGCAAACTTTCCAGTACATCATGCATCATTCCCTTTACTACTTTCTCTAAAGTGCTCTTTATTATTCAGCTGAATATTTCTCTTCAGAGGATGTTTTTACAGTTCAATCAAAGCAGCTTTTCTTTTCCCAAAAGCTTTGCTTGTGTGGCCCTACAGGGACATCTGCTCATGGCCGTTTCGAACCTTTCTCTCTGCACAACTGCACAATTGCCAACTTTCCCCAGGTTGTCTGAAGCCAAGTGAGGCCTAGAGAAGGATCAAAACAGTCTGTCTTCTTGAAACATTTTTAAAAGATGATTTATTTTTCCCTAGTGGTATCCAGAACTTTGAGAATCCAGGTTATGAATCCAACTTGAAAACATAGTTTTCTTTTTATTGTAGAAGGAAAAAACAAAACCAAACAGACTTCTTTGTCCATGGCCATTTCTACTTTTAGTTTTAATTAAAAATACTGGTATTCTTGCCAGCTGTGTGACTCTGGGCAAATTAGCCCTCTGGACCTTTCAGTTTTCTCATCTGTAAAATAGGAAATGGAATAATTCCCATTTCCCT